TTTTCTGCTGAAGAGTAAAGTGCAAATTTTGCTCTGCACAGCAAAATGCATTCCTGGAGTTTTTGATGGTGCTAGCATAGCCACCCAAGAGCAGAATTTGGGCTTGAAAAGTTTTCACTGTGCTGTTTGTTCCTCTGCAAGGTAATAGGTATCTCTCTACAATTTCAATAGATGTTCATGCAAATAATTGTTAATTCTTAACTGTTGTTGGGCTAAATCTAATGCTAAAATCTACAATTAGAATCTATCCTAAACTGCCATATTACTGCACTCAAATGCTTTTTCTTGTGTAGTATGTCACAGGATGTAACACATATTTCCCTCTTATTCAGCAGGCTTTCTATTAGCCTGCATCAGACAGGGCATTAGAAACATGCAGGCACTCTGAGAAAGTTTCTCGTTTTTAAAAAACAACAAATCTCCACGTGCTGTACTGAGTCACACAAGGACCTCCTGGCTGCCACCCTGTGCCACGTGCTCTAGGTGTCCCTGCTGGAGCAGGGAGGTTGGACTAGATGATCTCTAGAGGCCCCTTCTAACCTCAACCTTTCTGTGATTCTGTGATAAAGGTGAAATGTGCTCAGCTTGCTCCCTGAGAGACAGGTGGTACCTGGCACAAGCAGGGCAAGCTGATGGCCCTACCCGTGCCTGTGCATGTTAGCAGCTTCAGATCACCTTCGTCCCGAGGCCGCCACGGCCGTGGCATGGTGCTGCCGTGGGGCGGTCATGGGGCAAACTCGACGGTGCTCATGAAGAGGCCGGGCTGTGATGAGGACTGCTGGGGCTGTTCTGGCTCTGGTGCCATGGGGAGCAGAGACCCGTGGAGATGCTCGCGCTCGTGTCGGCAGATGCGAGGGCATGCGTGCTGTTATTTACAGACTAAAACTCTGTTTAGTCTCAGTGAAAGATTCTGAGGGCCTTCTGGATTGAAGTTTCTGTGTAGCATTAGCAGAAAACCGACAGCTCAGGTTTACTTTTATCATCTTGCTCAATCCCTGAGAGTTTTGAAGTGAAAGTTGGTTAGTTCCTTTTAAAGCATTCTACTATTGCTTTTTAAGTTTTTTTCCCCCAGCTTGCCTGTCAAACAAGAAGTACGTGTTTCACACTAGTCCATTTTGTTCTTCTGCTGTTTTCACTGGATGTGTTTTATGACCTTCTGTTCACCTGTTCCTCCCTTCAGGTCATCTCCTGAGGCATATGGCAAAACTTTTCCTCCTTTGTAGATCTGAGGTGGTCTTTAGCATGTTCTTGCTGGTAGCCCTCAGCCATGAGCTGTGCCTTTGCTGTGAGGAGAAGCGGCTCTTCCTTTGGCCTGGCCATGCTGTTGGGATACAGCTGTTAATAAATGCTGTGTGTGTGATCTGGAGGTGAACAAAGCACGTAGGTTTTCCTACTATATATTTCCTTAAACCAGCTATCTTCACTTGTCTTTCTACACCGTGTGGAAAATATGCTACTAAAACCATTCCATGTTTAGGATGTTATACCTCGGATTTCACTATCAAAGTCTATTATCTGAGGGATGATATTCCCTCTGGAATGGGAGAGGGAGGCACGGGACAGGCTAATTGATGCAGCACTCCTGCACTGCCTCTGAGCGCAGCGCTTTGCTGTAGGAAGTGTGAGAGAGACGAATGCACCCCGAGCTGTCAGCTCTCACCAAGCGCAGTGCATGATATAACATATCCTTCAGGAGCTGCCAGCTACGCAGAAAGCAGCAATATATTTGCACTATTTAATGCACTTTTCCAGCTAATCTCTGTAGTTTTCCATGTTACTGCAGCATAATGCTAGAGGGTATAAATATGCATGTGTGTGTGGGAGAGAATTAGAAAAACATGCCTGTTAGTGATAAATAGCAGCTGTATTCAGTGCACCCCGAGATCATGGCTTGTTATCCATGTCTGCTTTTCCCAGTTTAGAGCCAGCAAGACCTTATTATAAAGCTCTTTCCATTAATGTAACTACCCACTGCAAAATATAACGAGTGTTAACTTTTATGCAAAACAACAGAAGTGGTATAAAGCACCAGTCTCTCTGATGTGCGCTGTCAGAATTACGTATTAGAAGAAAGCTGGTTAACTAAAGAAATACTGTCCTGGTGTTTTGAAAAAGAAATGTCCATTGTGGTTGCGTTTAGAAGAATATTTCATTTAATCATTCAGATTTCTATCTCTATTACATGTACCTCTAAAAAATAAATTTTGCTAATTGAATGCAGTGTGGGAGGAGCCTACACAGAATTTTGGAGGGCTTTTATCTTTAGCTAAGGATAATTTCAAATTGGAATAAAGAGGAAGGGCTGCATCTTCATTGTCTGATGCAAGAGACAGAGGGAGATGTGATTCTTTTTATTGATATCCACATGCACATTTTTCTTAGAAGCTGGTGATTTCTCTTTTAATATCATCCTGTCACCTTCCTTTTGGTTCCTCTTTTGTATTAGCAGATAACTTTCCACTTCTGTCTGGAATACATTTTTGTTGCACCTTTTCCTGCAAATATTTCACAAATGTTTATGTAAATAAATAAAAATCTAAATAAAGATTCTCTGTAATTGTAATTACACAAAGCTCTTATCAGCCCTCTGTCTTTCTGGTGGTGATTGATGGGCGTTATGGGAATTAGCTTTCTTTGCAGCTATGCGCAGTGGTAGTCGGCCTCCATGTATATAGTCATGTAATAGAGTCTCAAAACCAACCCACCCTGTGTGAAAGATATTAGCAGAGTAAATATGGACACTTCTCCCCAGCCACATGCCATTTACTCATTGTGGGGTATATGCTGTATTTCTTTTCCTTTTCAGAAGTTAATTTTTGGACTTCTAGAAGAGACTACAAAAGGTCTTGTTCTTATAACTGTGTATTCTACCTAATCAGAGATATTATTTTGCAAGGCAGTAGACTTTTTGGATGGGATTCAGTGCCTAAAATGGCACTAGATGCCTACTCTTAGATACCCAGCTTATTGCCTCTTGCTGTCACTCTTGAGTGCAGGAGTCTTGTCTGCCAGTCAGAGGTGAATGTCTCAGATTTACTCTAGTGTCCCAAGTGCAACAGTGCATTTGTGCTGAAGCAATTGAGGCCAACCCTTTATTTAATATGTGCAAGAGGTATTTCTATTCTTTCATATATTTGTCACTTGGAATGCCTGAAGAATTTTAGATATCTAGGTCCCTTCTTAAAATCCAAAGGAAGATTTCACTGCTCCAAAATTTATGCTCCTTGCTTTTACTTTCAAATATGTACAATAAATGGCATCCTCTTGTTTTTATCTGTATTGCTTTCTTTAGTAAAGTAACTTAGTGAAACAGCACTAGGAAACTTGAGTTAACTGCCATTTAACTCCTTTTAAGTGTAGGAAATGTGAAGCTCAAGCTGTTTGGCTTTTCTGAAAATCTGTACATATGGTATGTGACTCACAGTGGGTGTATTTTATGGTTGGAATAATTCATATTTTGAAACAGAGCGGTAAGCTTCTATTTGGAAAGCCTTCATATATTCACTGTTTAGCCTTCTTGTTTTAAGATGCTGTTTAGTACCAAACATCTTGGAGTTTATGGAACAACTTTCCATTTTAAAATTGAATTTCTGTGTATTGCATTCTGGGCTCTCTATGCATGATCACCTCTAAAAGTATTTCAAAATGAAGGCCGTGGAGTTTAGAAACACTTGAAAAGGCTCTCAAAGTTGGCTTTTCTAGAATAGTCGGGGGGATATTTTGTTATTTATATGCACAAGTGAGGAGCCTATGGAAGAAAAATGGCAGTTCTCATGCTTAAAAATAAAACATAAAATTCCACCTCTCCCTAAGACTAATTTAATCTCAAGAAAATGTGTGTTTTGACATTAGATTTTCTTCACTACATTTCTATTAGTTTCAAAATTTGCAGCTGCATAAGCTTTAAGAGGCCCATTTATTTTTCTAATTATATGTAGATAGCTAAGATGCTTTTTGTCTCTTGGAGGAACAACTGTGAAGTACCTCTAAAATGATTAAAACAAACTTGCCATTGCCTAAATTATTGGATGAATGCTTGCTTGATGTACTTGCAATATAAACAAATTATTCTGATTGTCAATTTAAATTTATTTCAAGGTTGGAGAGTCTTGACTCTGTATTTTTAAGCAGGATGTGTAAAGCTCTCGTTTCAGATCCGGCTTTGATACTGCCATTCGCTATGCATGAGCTGTAATGATGTGTCGCAGTCTCTGTGCATATGCTGAAAGCTGAATCAGTGGATCAAATGATAGAGAGTCCTCATTTATCACTGCTATCAAAGATATGTCACAAGTTTTTATTTTAAAAGGGGAAGATGTGATAATCTTTGTTTCCTGGAATAAAACTTCTCATTTAGGGGCTGACATGAGCATTGACTTTTTTATTAAAAGTGTAAAACATGCAAAGCCTCTGGTGATAACAAAGCAGAAAGAGGCCGTGTCTGCACTCCTGGGTTTTGCCTTCATCAATATATTGACAGGGGCATGGAGATGTGATAGAGGCTCTGACATCACTGTCCTGGCACAAAATGCACCAACGTAACTGCAAATTCTGGGTCCCGTTCTGCCCTTGCCTAATGTAACTCTCCTCAGATGGTTTTTCAGGTGACTTTGAGGCACTAACACAACTTTGCTGTACTAGTCTCTCTCTGATTTGTATGCAAAACTGTAAAATGCCTTCATAGTTGACAGCCTCATTTGGAATACATCATGAATATCCACGAGCTGAATTTTGTATTTATAATTGCATTTTTTCCATTCCTCCTAGAATTTCTGGAATTCTCCATTTGCAAAGTGCACAGAAAAAAATCTCTTTCTGGTTAAATCTGTATGTTGTGTGCCCTGATTTAAAAAAAGAAAAGCTTTTATAAGATCTGTTTCAGTGGAACCACTGTTGACCTGACTGAGTTATGGTTATTCTTTCTTTAAACAGACAACTATTTTTTTTTTCAGCCAAAGAACGATTCATTTGATTAACAATCATTTTTATCTCTTTGAAAGGATCCTTTCCGACCATTGGGGTGAAGTCTCTTTCGAGATTCCTGAGGGCGGGATTTTTAAATAGCATCCTGACCTCACATCCAGTGTCAGGGGGTGGATCTTTACCCCCCAGCATTTCCTCTGGTAGGTATTCAAGCCTATTCCCCCACATCAGTTTTTCCCCTCATCCTTTGTCCCATCTCTCCACACATTTTGGGAAACAAAGTCTGGTACAGGACAGAGGGATCAAGTGTCTCTTTCAATAGGAAAGTCAAGCTGAGTAATAGGAAAAGAGAAGGGAAATTATGCTTTAAAATCCATCTTTTTTTTTTTTCTGAACTCATGTATGGAAGAAAGTATGAGGGAAAGAACTCCATAGTTAAGTGAACAACTGAAATTTTGAAAGATGAGGCATGGTATCCTATAATCAAACACTTCAAGGAGCATGCCAGTGTGCATCAGTGAAGACTAACTTCAAGAAGGCCTCTATGAAGTCACAGTTTTTCTGTGACTCAGAATGTAGGTTGTTTTTCTCTATAGAATGTGCATTTTCTTATTAAACTATTGAATCAAAACAGATTTAGAAAGGCAAAGATCACTGAAGTGGTTAACTGCTGTGTGCTCCATGGTTGCAACTTGTATCTCCTAAAAAATATTTTGACCTTATTTTTCTTAAATACTTCTTTATCATAGTTCGAGTGATCTAATTCTCTTTGAAAGTAAGTGAGAAAATCTCTTTGCTTATTTTGAGAGCACAGCATTCTGTGCTGCCTCTAGCTAGATCCCCAGCAGAGGCATAGCTGAGTGATGACATGAAGGACCCAGAAGGGCTGGCATAAAGTTGGTTGTATGCTGAGACCTGGTTGTATGCCAAACCAGGTAAATAGATACTGGGCTGAAGTGGGGAAGAGTGATACGTTAGAAGCATGATAAAGGCTATATGTGCTATCCATTCTCATATAGAGCCATTAAGTATCATCTGGCATCAAAGCTAATAAAAGTAAATAAATGCATCTTG